GTCAGCCGCATTTGGCGTACCGCGTAACACAATGGGGTGTGTTCGGATCTTCGCTCGAAGTGCATAAAGCACTATTTGATTTGAATCATTGACATATCATGGAAGTACTGATAAGATAAAGGAACATGAAAAAAAACGATATATTGAATGAAAATATCGATATATACCGATATATTGAAACAAATATATCGATTATAATATATCGATATATTTTTAAAAAATATCGATATATAAAAATAATCGATATATCGTTGCCATCCCTAGTCAAGATTAAAAGGATGAAATTGTCTCCACGGTGACGTTAACAATACTTTTTACCGAAAACGGCAACAATACGTCACACACTGTTTCCGCAAGAAAGGGAGTTGATATATTACTCCGATGTCAACAATTTGTTTGACGCGTTAGGACAGAAACATGATACAAATGATTGGCGCTTGTTGATTGATTCCTTTAAGCTTAGTTTAAAAGGGGTATTGGTACACAACGATAATAAATATCCATCTGTACCTATAGCGCACGCAGTTCATACGAAGAAATCATATGAAAAGATGCTAGTTCTGTTAGAGCATATCCGTTATAATGAATATGGATGGGCCATATGTGCAGGTTTAAAAGTAATAGCCCTTCTTCTTGGAATGCTAATGGGATATACCAAATATTCTTTTCTTTGTGAATGGGACAGTCGTGCGCGAGATCGTCATTACGAACAGAAGGAGTGGCTACTACATCAGGTATTAACTATGGGCCTCAAAAACATTGCTCTAACCACTAGTTGATCCCAAAACGTGTTGCTTCCACCTTTGCATATTAAGTTGGGACTGATGAAACAGTTTGTGAAAGCTATGGTTTCTGCATTTAAAACAAACATTTCTGAGACTTACTGAGGCAAAAATTAAAGAGGGCATACGTATTTGTTGGTCCACAAATACTGAAAATCAGGAACGATGATGTATTTGACAGTGCTCTAAATGAAACTGGATTACGAGCTTGGAATGCTTTTAAATCACTGCTAATTTTTTAGGCAATGTGAAGGCCGGCAATTATGAAGATATTGTGAGTGAACTATACTAAGTGACATATAAATCCGAACACCCAGTTTAAATGGTTTTATTTTAATAAAAGTTGGTGAATGTATTCCTCTTACTGTAAATAACAAGTGAAAAAATTTTCAGTCTTATCAGTTAGACATTCCGGTTTTTATACTGCTTTTTTTTAATTCACTAACGCTCTAAAAATGAATATTTCAGCCGCAGTAAAGAATCAACGTTGGCGGATTTTGGTTCTTGACATCCTTTACGATCGGTTACGGAGACCTGTACGATTTCGTCAACTTAGTGAGTTTGATAGGGGCCGTATAGTGGGACTTCGGGAAGCTGGACCTTCTTTTCGGGCAATTGCAGTTAGAGTGCAAAGAAGTGTAGACACTGTGGTGAGGTGTTGTCAGGCAAGGCTTCAAGAAGGCCGTACGCAAAGAGCAAGGGGCACTGGACGCCGCCGTAGAACAACAGACTGTGAAGATCGCCGCCTAAGATTATTGGCCTTAAGGGACCGTTTCTCCACTGCCAGGTCCATTGCAAATGAATGGTTTGCAGAACACGGAAGACCTATTGGTATGCAAAGTGTTTACCGACGAATGAGAAGTTTTGGCTTGTTTTCATACCGGCCACACTGGGTCCTCCCTTTAACTCGAGAACACCGACGTAATCGCCTTGAGTCACGGTCACTCTGGGATCAGGAATGGAACAGTATTATCTTTAGTGACGAGTCTCGATTTTGTTTAGGCATGCACGATGGTCGTGCCAGGGTTAGAAGGCGACGTGAAAGGAGGAATCCACAGTTTTTTGTTGAAAGACATGTTCATCACACTGTTGGAGTTATGGTTTGGGGTGCTATAGCTTATGGTTCCAGGTCACCTTTAATCTTCATCAGAGGTAACATGAACGCGCAGCGCGTTATATCCACGAAGTTCTAGAACCCCATCTTTTACCCTATCTTGACACCCTGGCAGATCCAACTTTCCAACAAGATAATGCCCGACCACATGTTGCAAGAGTCACAATAGACTTCTTTCAACATAATGATGTCACATTGTTACCATGGCCACCAAGATCTCCCGACTTATCCCCAATTGAGCACGTGTGGGATATGATGGGTAGGAGATTGCTCAATTTGCAACGTCCTCCTCAGACTTTAGAAGCACTTCGAGAGGAGTTGGTGGTTGCCTGGAATGAGATACCACAGGAGGACATTGACCACCACCTGATCAGAAGCATGCCTAGGCGCGCTGGAGAATGCGTAGCACATCAGGGTGCATCCACACACTATTAAAGGTCAAAGGGCTTTAAAGCAGTGCAATCATTTTGAAATTTTTATCATTTACTTATTATGCTTCATTAAGTACTTATACAAAATTTTATTAAAATAAAACCATTTAAACTGGGTGTTCGGATTTATATGTCACTTAGTATAATTATCTAGAAAAGCTAAGTATGAGTGCATTCAAACGTTGTGGCAATACGTGCATAAACAGTTGGCCATTGAAAATGTGGCACCAGACATTTCTATAAAATTTGTGTTGAAACGAGTGGTTTCTTACAGTACGGGGATTTTCTAACGACCAAGTATCTGCATTTTGTTTATGCATTTGCAGTAACCACTCTCAAAAATATCGCCGTTGCACTTTGTCAACGGGTTGCAGACATTGCACATTTTGCGGATGGTAAGGATGTAAAACTTCCCGATGTAAAATTCTCCACGCAAGACTTTGGGATCATGGTAACTGGGCTGCAATCCGCCTAGTACTTGTACTAGGATCATCTATCGCCAAATTAATCACTTCCAGTTCGTCTTGAAGAGCATGCCAGACACCATGGCCTCTAGCTCCGGGAAGTTTGGCCATTCCATATTGCCGAAGTCTTAGAAATGAACGCGCAAAAATATTTGCATTTCCATTACAGAACCTGTACACAAAAATAATATCGACGTACTCATCATTGCTACATTCCATTTCACAACACTCAAAAATGGAAAAAAACTTTCGACTTTACTTTTACAAAAAAAGTGGTAGTAGTAACGATAACAACCGTATAACACAATTGTCTAAAAACCTTAACTTTGACAGCCTGCCAGTCCGCCGTTTCCTTCCTGAAAAGCATTTTGAAAGAAAGTCTTTACCCCAAATTTTGGCGGTTCTTATTCGAATTTGTTTATATCTCCTGTTATCATAGCAGTCCGATAATTTATCAATTATGTGCGCAGATTATGCTTATTTATAACCCGCGATTGTCTATTTACATTTGAATGACCCGTGTGGATGACCTATTCTGACTTTGCTGCATATCAAGTCCTCTAGGTTGTGGCGTATTCCATTTATTTACTTTCTTGGAATCAAGTTGATTATTTTTAAATGTACCATAAATGTGAAATGCTTGAGATAGACATGCTCGTTTCTTTTGGTTTAATTTATTTTACGACTTACTATCATTCTTTACTATCAGTATTTGTGTAAATCTAAGGATTATGACAAATAACGGTGCCTATTGAAAATCAATAGCCCTAGCCGATTGCATGTAAAGGGTTGTCCAATAGGGACGCAGGAAAGTAAACGTCAATTTGACATAGACGCCATCTTTGTTTTCTGTCACCGAAATGTCATTTTGTTATTGAATGTTTACCATTGATCGCTATGGAGTCGTATTCGATTGAAAACCGCATTAAAGTTATTCAAGAGCACTACAAAAATGGTGCAAAAATAAAAAACACGTTCCGTGCGCTTCGTGAACATTTCGGTCGCAACAACCGCCCAAACGAAACAACCGTCGGTCGTCTGGTGCGTAAATTCGAGGCAACAGGTTCTGTGGCAAATCTGCCAGGCTCTGGCCGGCCAAGGAGCGTTCGCACACCGGAAAATATTGCTGTTGTGAAGGAGAGTGTGAGAGACGATCCGAAACAATCAACAACGCGTCGATCCCAAGAATTGGGCATTTCGACAACCAGTTTGCTCCGCATTCTCCACAAGGATTTGAATGTACACGCCTACAAGATCCAATTGACGCAAGAGCTGCGTCGGGCCGACCGTTCTCAGATTGGTTCCTTGAACACCGCCAAATTGAGGCCAATTTTTCATCAAAAATCATGTTCAGCGACGAAGCACATTTCACTTTGAATGGGACGGTAAACAAGCAAAACTGCCGCATCTGGGCGAACGAAAATCCCCGTGAGTATCAAGAGCAGCCGATGCATCCTCAAAAAGTGACTGTGGTCAAAAGGCATCATCGGACCTTACTTGTTCGAAAATGCGGCCGGGGACGCCGTTACCGTCAATTCTGAGCGATATCACGTGATGATAGAGGACTATTTTTTGCCGCAGCTTGAAGGAATGGATATGGACATTGTTTATTTCCAACAAGATGGTGCAACATGCCACACAACCAACGTCAATATCCATCGATTGCAGTCCTTCTTCGGTGATCGCGTGAAGCAAAGTCTACGTCAACAAACCAGCCACCCTCCAAGAACTCAAAAACAACATCATTGCCGAGATAAATGCCATAGAACCGACCATGTTGCAAAATGTCATTGAAAATTTCGACCAACGCGTGGACGTCTGTAAATTCAGTCGTGGTGAACATTTGAGCGATATTATTTTTCATACATAAATGGTATAAATGAACCTTCAAAATAAAGTACCCAACTTGATTTGAATATCAATCTTTCTTGTTTTAATATGCGTTTACTTTCCTGCGTCCGTTTTGTACAGCCCCACCTACAAATTTTGAATTTATTTACGTTTGAGTGATCTCAACAGGTGAATTAGCACCAATACGACTCCTCGTCGATGTGCTTCGGGTCGTGTACGGTCCCTGACGTCATCTTTGGACACTTAGCTGGGGCATTGCTTATTAATATTATTTATAGTGTTAAAACTAATTAACACGATTTTGTAATAACCTCTATTCAGTATCGGATTGATTTTCATGACTTTCCTTTTGTTTCAGAAAAGAAACCCACACCTTCATCCCCTAGCATCCACCTTAATGATTTAACAAAAATATCAAGTTACTCGAAAGACAGCGGGCAAGATATGACAGAAAATAAGATCCAGGAAAACGGTCAATGGATTATCGGTAAGTGACTATATTTTCTGTAGACAAAAAAGCTTAGCTGTACGGGCTAATGAAGCATCGCGAGTAGCGCCATGTTTCTGAATTTGTTAGCTTTCTGCCCCGTGGTTTCACCACCGTAGGTTATATACGGGTGGTTTCATTAATAGAACAACCAAATTTTCAAAACATGCAAGTTGACTGTCAATTTATCAATGCAATGTAATTATAGCAACGCTCAAAAAAATGTTACATAATAATAATAGACGTCTTTATTTATCCACAATTACATTTGTAGTATAGCCAAATGTCAGACTTATATGGCGAAGTTTAGCATGCTGCTACTCTTACACTTAACCATATAGTCTCTAGCAGATGTTGAAAAGAATACACTATCCACAAACAGATTTGGTTCATTACATCGAAAGTAAAATTTAAAAAAAGGGAAAAAGGCATACTTTCCAAACCCAAATGCACCAAAAAATTATTAATCTGAATTAAAGATGGAATAAAAAAGAAATGAATGATTACGTAAATTATATGTTTGGAGGGTTGAGTAATAATGTTTTAACTTTTTGTCGAAAGATAGGTAATGAAAATTCTTTATATACTTTAGGAAGGTCATTATAAATAATAGCAACATTGTAAGAAAAACTGCGTTTAAAAAGTGTAGACGTATGCAGGGGTATTCTAATATTATTTTCTCTGAGAGTTCTACAGTGAACATCATTATTAAATGAAATTTTTTCCTTTAAGTAATAAGGTTTAGACGTGAGCAGCAATTTGTGAACAAAAACTGAATAGTGATACTTGACCATGTCATTAATTTTTAACCAGTTTAGAACGGGATATTTCGCTGATACATGATCAAATTTACGTAAACCAAAAATGAATCGTATACAATTGTTTTGAATAACTTGAATAACGTTTTTAGTGAAATTGTCTAAACAAGTATAGTATATATCTTCAAATGAAAAACATTCTAACATCCCTACCGTTAATAACAACCAGAAAAATTACAAATTTTTTGTCGACAATTCAAAACTAATATCAAATGTCAAACAAGAATCCTGGGAACAATTATACTCTATAAATAATATAGACAAAGCAATGGGACTGTTCATAGAGAAAATAAAAAAAACTAATAGATATTAGTACCAATAAAGTAATAATTAGTCACAAAGAGAAAAGCAGAAATGCCTGGATTACCAAAGGATTAATAACATCGGCAATAGAAAAAGAAAGACTATATAATGTAATGAAACTAACGCCAACTACAGAGAATACCGACTACTACAACCAATATAAAAATAAATTTATAAGGCTTGTAAGGCAAACCAAACGAAAACATTTCCTAAATAAATTGAATAATAACTTAAATGATCCAAAGCGGCTTTGGACAACTATTGATGAGATTACTGGGAAAACAAAAGTTAAAGAGTGTGTCACTGAGTTAAATTCAACATCGGGAACAGTATTAAAAAATACTCAACAGATATGCGATGAATTTGTACAATTCTTTACTGACATAGGCGAAAATTTAGCAAGTAATATACAAGCAAATGTACAAAATACTCACCCTCCAAAAAGAACTTTGAACTCATTTATTTTGGATAATGTCGAGCAATGTGAAGTATACACCACTGTTATGTCCTTAAAAAATCGGAAAAGTCCTGGGTTCGATGGTATTAAAAGCGAGCATTTGAAAATTATAGCCGAGGACATAACAGAACCACTCACTTACCTAATCAACAAATGCTTTGAATCTGGCATATATCCCTCAATTTTAAAAAAAGGTAATATAATACCGATACATAAATCAGGAACAAAAACAGATGTTAACAACTATAGACCAATATCAATAATATCCAGTGTAGCAAAGGTTTTTGAAAAAGTTTTATCTACTAGAATGATTCGATACCTCACAAAATTCAAAATTTTAAGTGAAAATCAATATGGATTTACAGAAGGGAAGGCTACATCGGACGCAATAACTAAAATTGTAAATCAAATATATCAAAATATTGATAACAGAATCCCTTCAATCTGCATTTTTGTTGATTTAAAGAAAGCTTTCGACACAGTTAATCACAAATTATTATTAGAAGCATTGGAGAGAATTGGTTTCAGAGGAAACGCGTACTCACTGATCGAAGGTTATTTGTCAAATCGCCCACAATCTGTGCAGATATCAGGATCCTTTAGTAAAGAAATGTATATTAAGTGTGGTGTCCCACAAGGAACTGTCTTAGGTCCGCTGTTATTCAATATATATTTAAATGATATTTTCCAAATTAATTGTGTTGGCAAAATAACTAGTTTTGCAGATGATACTGCAATATTATATGAAGGCACTGACTGGTCTGATCAGAAAAATGTAAATGAAAATGTTTAACAGTAGACAATTAAGCATTAACTACTCTAAAATACATTTTTTACCATTTGGATCTTATGCTAGACATCTGCCAAATTACACAAGTTTCTCCTTCAATATTAATGATCAAAAAATGCAAATTAATAGAGTGCCCAACATAAAATACCTTGGAGTGGTCTTGGATCCTCACTTACGATGGGACATCCATGTCAATTATATTTTAAAGAAAGTTAGATTTGTATCCTACAAAATTAAATAGCTTGGGAATATATTGACAGAAAAATATCTTCAAACATTATACCATGCACTGATTGAGCCTCATCTCGCATATGGTATATTAGCATGGGGAGCTGCATGTTCCTCACATATCTATAATTTAGATGTTTTTCAAAAAAGTATTCTAAAAATGATATTTAAAAAACCGAAACTTTATCCCACTGAAAAATTATACGCAGATGTTCGAATGTATGATATAAGACAGCTTTATTTCTTACACTCACTACCATAAATTTGTAAATACCGACCACAAAATTAAACATAATCATTATACCAGGTACAAAATTCGTGGCACAGTAGTTCCTCAACCGCATAAATCTATAATGCAGCGATCATATCTCTATTTAGCACCTAAATTTTATGAAATTATACCTAAAGACTTGAAAGATTTACGTTTCGGAAATTGTTTCAAAAGAAATTTAAAAAAGTGGCTACATTCTATATCTAGGACTGAAATTCATAAACTCATAAATACGAACATCAACTAAATACATAATCTACTGTAGCTAATTTTTGTCCTTTTTTGTCATTTGCATTCTACAGTTTCAACTTAAATTATTGGTCCATGTACAGACGATGCCTTCTATTGGGCCTGTTTTGATTTTATATTTATTTACTCATATTGTTTGTTATCTTTGTACATTGAGTGAATAAATATTATCATTATCATTATCATTATTATACGATATTACAATAATTTAGTATACATATGACCAATGCTTCATATAGTTTTTTACGCAACTTAAAATTTAGTAAATACCTGTTTGCTATAAGAGTCCTCAGCCGTAGGTAGGTTTTCTGAGATAGACTTTTAACATGTTCAATAAACCTTAATTTAAAACAACCCCAAGAATTTTTGCAGACTCAGAAAATTGCAAAATTTGGTTATTTATCTGAATCTTCAAGAGCTGTGTTACATTGTATGTTTTTCTTTGTGCGCAAAATAAAAACATTTTAGATTTTTGTGAATTAATAAGTAGATTGTGATCTAAAGAGTATTTAATTAATTTATTAACATCATTTTGTGAAATTTGAGTAGTATTATTGACATTATCTGGGTTAAAATAATGGAGCAATTGCGTATCGTCTGCAAATGACTGGACATGAGAATTGTCAATACTTTTGCTTAAGTCGAACGTATATAATTATGAGGAACAGAAGCGGCCCCAATACAGAGCCCTGAGGTACGCCTGAGGGAATTATTGTCACTTGAGACATTTCTTGATTGAGAAAAACACACTGAGTTCTTTGATGAAGGTAACTGTCGAAAAATGAAAAGGATACACTGTCAAGACCTATGTAATTTAATTTAGCAAGTAATAATTTATGATTGATGCTGTCAAAGGCTTTCGAATAGTCTATAGAGATTAAGGCTAGTGCCATTTTCTTATCTAAGGCACTTAAAATATTGTCTTGGAGATTAAGTAGGGCAGATGTTGTACTATAATTTTTTCTAAAACCGGATTGAGTGTCGGGAAGTATAAAGAATTTTTCTAGGTAAGCGGTCAATTGGAACTTTATAATTTTTTCTAAAATTTTGGATAAAATTGGTAATAAACTGATAGGTCTGAGATCATTATACTCAGTGGGTTTCATTTTTTTTAGGAATTGGAATAATTAGAGCTTGTTTCCATGTGTTTGGAAAGTAGCCTTTTTCCAAACAGTCGTTAAAGATGTGGACGATGTGATGGAGAATAACATGTTACAGTATATTCAGATAAGAGATAGACCGGACATAAACAAGACCACGTGATCATCGAACGCTGTAACATTCGGCAGGGACGTATTAAGAGTCACGCAGTACATATTTTAGATAGTAGATGCTGCTTTGCGTAACTTTGTAGTAAATTAGCACAATTCGATGTGTATACGATTGGTGATGGATATAGGATCATGTGGGGGTGGGGTAAGAAATATATAATGATGTAAATATACATAAGGGTTTCAAAATTTTCGCTTCGATTTCCAGCTTCGGATGCCGCCTGATGTTTGGTGAAATACAGTCGAATATAATCTCAAAATGGCGTTTAAATTTAAAAGTTATAAAAGTTTTGTTACTTGTAATATGTTTTATCTGCCCCCTGGAATTATTGTTTAGAACCTTGTTCCCAAGGTTTGAAAAACATCCGATTGTTGTCTATTACTCGTATTTACCTGCTGGATTTTTTAATCCGGTGGACAGTCCATCTAGAAAGGCCCTCCTGGATGAAGTTACAGAATCATCAACCCATACTTTACTTGTAGTGTGTCCTGCGTTTACCCACGTTTCATCAAGGTAATAAATCTTCCTGTTTTGATTTCTATATTTCCCAATTTTTGTTAAATAATCCCTCCTCCATAGCACAATTTCTTCTCTATCCAGTAGTAAACTATTACGACCCCGTTTTTTCCATTTGAAATTTAAATGCTTCAGTAACGCATGGAAAGTTGATCGTTTGAAATTTGGCAACGTTGTATCTCCATTTACCTCCTGCAGTACTTTATCTATAGTAGGTATTTCATTCCTAAAGAAGAATTCATGCACTTTCCTCCTAATCGCATGCTTATCAGCTTCATCCAATGATTTAACAATACTTTTGCGATGTTTACTGGTCATTGGCTCAGAAAAGGTGTGATTTTTTTTGTATTGTCTTAACACATTAAACACTGATGCGCGACACACCCCAACTTTGTGAGAAACCTTCACAACAATTTCTTTGATGGTTGATGCCTCGTTCTCCTCGCGCTCGATCTTATATATATTCAAAATGACCTCTTTCATTTCTGCACTCAGGTGTCTTTTTTTAGAGCGTTTCCTAGGTGGACTACAGGAGTTTACAACTTCATCGGCAGTATCTGTACTACTAGGCACAACGACAAACTCAACAACTTAATAAGATAACAAACGAAAACGTCCAAAGAAATATCAAATTGCAATGATGCACACGACATACGTAACACGTCTGAACCTGAATGTGACTCTGCCTTGATACGACTGCTATGCCGCTCGGCATAGGCATTTAATTGCGAATTGACCAATGAGGGCTCCTGTTTTACGTCGAGACGGCGGCGTTAGCGTGAAAATCACCCGAACCTTTTGTTTACATCCGGTCTATCTCTTATCTGAATATACTGTAGTAACAATTTAACGCGCGGGTAACAGCTAGTGTAATATAATCCTTTCTTGAATCTTACTCATCCTTTATTAGACAAACATCAGAATACTCGCTGGACAGCGTTGTTTCATGCTTTTTGGCAAGCATCAGTACGACATAGGTCTAGTCATTTGGATACAGACAAAGAAAAACAAATAAATAAAAATAAGTCTTCTAGAAAAGTTAGTATTGTAGAGAGCCGCCTATGAGTGGAAGCGTAGAGATGCCTTGAAACTAGTTTCGTTCTACCGATATAGGGGTCTGTAATTAAATACTTGATTTGTCGATAGGCGATGAAGACAAGGAGAACTACGAAGGGTTTCCCCAAAATGGCGAAGAAGACAAGGAGAGCTACGACGCCTTTCCTCAAAATGGCGAAGAAGAAGAAAACCCTCCGCCTGCCGCTCCGTCGGATGGTCAGGGAGGTCATGGATGGAGCGAGGCTCAACAAGCGGAGTTGTTGCAGAGACGAAAGAGACTCAAGTAAGTAGCATGTCACTATTATATACAACAGATTAGAAACAACTTACACTTCGCACTGATATATCCTGGCTTAGGAATTTGTGACAGTTTTATTTCATATTACCTGCTGATCGACGATCAGCTTATTTGAAGTGGTGTTCTTTATCGATTTCCTGGCATCCCACTTGTTTTGTAAGCGTGACTGGGCTGACTGAGAATACTTTGAAGTTGAGTCATTAATTTTCAGATAATGATTGTAGAAGGAAGATAAACCAAAATATGTGTGTAAAAATAAAAAAAAAAATTTTACCTTGTTTTATAAAGTATCCTCCCGACAAGTATTTCAGTGCGGACCTGTATTTGATAGTGAGGTCTTGGAGCACCGGCATGCCGTCTCCTGTGAGATCTTAAGTCACCTGATTCACGAGCCCGTTGTACTACATTAATAAAGGCACGAGGGGTTGGTTGCACTCGATTGGAAAACCGATCCGCATAAACATGTGCCATTTTTTATTTCGTTTGAGCCACGCAGCAAACACCACTATTCACTCACGCGTTACCGACTGACACATTGACTGAATAAAAACATCGTGATCAGCGTTTCAAATTCTTTCGCTTTTTTGTTTCCGATGCGATAAACCGATAAGGCGGATTATATCCGTTGTTGCCAAACACAAGCACATAATATTATTATTGAGACAGGGCGGTACTCAAACTTCTAAAGGGCTATAACTTTGTTACTTTAATTTTACCAGAAAAATGTTAAAGGAAAAATACATTTCTTTTGATCAGATCTACTCACTGTTAAAATAAATGACTCAACTTCGAAGTATATCACCTGTAACATATTGAAAATCAGCATTCATGGGTAACCAAAAATACTTTGAAAAGGATAGTGTCTCATAGAGGGCGCTGTAGTGTTTTTGTGTGTACATGTGGCAATAATGCTTTTAAGTGTGAAATTGTGTCATCAAGGTGTTCGTTTATTCTCATGTTGACGTTGTTTATGTTTACCACTGTAAACCTTATGACAATGAATTATTAATATTATATACAGGGTGTAAAACATTTTAGGAGGTGATAGTACAGCTCCTTTGCTATCAAAATTAGTATATAATATCATACCCTATATTCAAAAAAGTTATGGAAGATTTAATTTTTTTTAAAAAACTACCCAGATTACATAGTAAAATAGTTGAGATAAAAAAAAGTTGGTGATTAGACATTCTTTTTTTGGTGGTTTCAGGTTATTATTTAAATAAATAATTCTCATAAATTAAAAAACATATGAAAACACTACTGAAACGTATTTATTTTCATTCGAATGTTAAATGAAAATTTTTGTTTTCAACTTTCACATTAAGAAGTTTTTTTTTTCAAAAAAATCATAATAAAGAAAATGTACAAATAACTGCAAAAACTTCCTCGTATCATTAGGTTTCTAAAATGGTATAATAACATATCAGTAAGTAAACCATTTAACAAAACAATATTACTTTGCTAGAAAGGACCGCTAAGCGCATTTCATTGTACTGAGCAGGTAAACCGAGCCTTTCAGGGTTCGACCCTTTTTGTTATTTTTTGTGCCCTGTGCCATTATTCGGGTTTAAGTATTCGGAATCTGTCGTCGCTCCTCGGAAGCAAGCTCTGCGTGTGTTATGAATTGACACAGCTGACGGATCAAGGAAAGCGAACTAACGCTTAGGTTAGTTAGTAGAATATCAACCTTTAACGCGGTAGGACGTACTTTTACTTTTTTGATCAGTTTTAATAATGGCGAGTTACCGTAACGAAGAATACGCTGATATTCTGTTTTGTTATGGTTTAAGTGATGGAAATTCCGTTGAAGCCAGGCGAGAATACGAAAACCGTTTTCCGAATCGGCGAATACCGAGTCATCGAGTATTTGCTTCTGTGTACCAACGCGTCAAGGAAAGTGGACAGGTTCATGAGATACGTCATGATGCTGGTAGACCTCGGTTGTTTGACGACGAAGATCGAGAGGCAATACTGGAATGCTACGGCAGAGACCCGACGACAAAGCAGCTTGGTTTAACTCAGTGGAAAGTTTGGTTCGTTTTGCATTCGGCGAGACTTTACCCTTTCCATTACACACCGGTTCAAGTATTAGAAGAAGGAGATCCCGCAAGAAGAATTGATTTTTGTCGATACATGCTTCATCGGTATCAAGAAGAAAACGACTATTTAACTAAAATATTGTGGACCGACAAGTCTAAGTTTGACAGAGAGGGGACAACAAATTATCACAACTTACATTATTGGGCCCCACGAGAGGCAAATCCCCACATGGCAAAGCCAAGAGCCCATCAAAGAAGATTTTCGGCAAACGTGTGGATGGGAATCATTCATACGTATCTAATTGGACCAGTTTTTTGCCTGACAACCTGAATGGCGAATCCTATGAAAACTTTTTGAGATCCGAACTCTGGGAGTATCTCCAAGACCTGCCTCTGAATATCAGGATACAGATGATCTACCAACACGATGGCTGTCCCGCGCATTTCCGTCTGGGTGTTAGACAGTGGCTGGACGCGAAATATCCTTGTCGCTGGATTGGCCGAGGTGGACCGACACCGTGGCAGCCCAGATTTAACACCGTGTGACTATTATTTATGGGGGCACATGAAGTCACTGGTGTACGCTGAGCCCATAGACACTCTTGCACAGTTGAATTATTGCTGCTGCTGACACTATCAGAGGACAACTAACTGGCCGCATCACGCGTACCAACATGAGAAAAAGTCTACGGGCTTGCATAGGAAACGGCGGGCGTCAGTTCGAACAACAATTGCAATGAAAATTTTACCTTCATTTCATTATTGTATTTTACTTACCAATTGTAGTAACTTTTAGTCAGTTTTTATTTTTCTGTAGTACAATTACAACTGTGTAAATAATCTAATCGTGTAACTTAACCGTAGTTTAGAATAATAACTATCCCATAGCTTACAGTTACATTATTTTCACAAAAACACTTTCTTATCAATCAGAGAGTTGTGAAAATAGGAGACAAGCCATTGGTAAATTTACTCCCTATTGTTGTATTACAATACATTATGTTTAGTTTCACACAGTTTTTGTGCACTTATCATACCAATGTAGATTCCTTGTGAAACAAGGATATTATTTAAATTGTTTGTACGTTTTTTTGTATACTGATTTTTTTGTAAATCACCTTACTTACTGTAAAACGTTATTTGTTTTTCTTAGTTAAACATTTTTGAATGAAAATAAATACGTTGTTTGGTATTGTTTTCGAATCTTTTTTAATTTATAATAGTTAATTATTGAAATAATAACCCAAAACCACAAATGTTTAATCGCCAACTTTTTTCTCTCTCGACTTTTTTACTCTGAAATATGGATTGTTTTTAAAAAAATCTTGAATCTTCAATAACTTTTCAACCTTTGAATATAGGGTATGGTATTATATACTAATTTCGATAGCAAAGGGGCTGTACTATCACCTCCTAAAATGTTTTACACCTATTTACCTGTCATCCTGTATAAAGAAATATATGAACATATACGCACATAGGCAGGGCCATCTATGAGACCATAACATTTTCAGAATATATATAGTAGATATACTAACCGCTGTGAAAAATTCTCATAGATGACGTAACGGGTTCTCATTTTGTCTCGGTTATTTTTTTTGAACGCGGGAATATAGCGTTAGGTTGCTCATCTTCAGGTAGAATGTATTAATAGAATCGGAATAGTATGCCGCTTGTATGTAATGCCTCGATTAATTACAGAATCGTCGTCGTCATTCATAATTGTTTGTAATAGTGGCGATAGTAAAACATTTTATCGTTGCTGTATGCTAGCAACAGCAGTAAACTTAACATTCTACCAATATATGTAAACGACACATGAACTACGGGTTAATTGAATTGATTTCGATGTACCATAAACGGTAACAGGTTGTGGAATGTAGAAATTCCAGGCATTGAAACATAAATCGGCAGATTTATGCGTGGAAGGTTTCGGTCTCGATTTTGGAGGAGGGTCATACCTTGAGAAATCTGTCTAAAGATATATATATATATATATAGATGCGCTCTAGCATCTCATGTTAACACAACAGGGCATTCTATGAATTACTCAAGTATCAAAGTTCTTGATAAAGAAAAACACCTTTCCAAACGTTTATTCCTGGAAATGTCCCACATTTTCATGAATAACAACTGTATCAACAAAAAGACAGATGTTAAACAACTGAGTGTCATTTACTCATATTTGCTAAACTGCGAAAAATTGGAGAACTTACATATCTCCCCAAATTTCGACTCTTCACAACCATAAATAGAATCTGTGTTTTTGCCGATTCCACCAGTAAATTTCATTCCACTCAAAATCTAATAATTCTCTTCTCACGATTTATTAATAATTGTTAATTTAAATTCCCATTAATTGAAATATAGTTTATTCAACTGCCTCTGGTCGGTTTAACAATTTCTTACATAACATTCTGAAAATCACATCATCTGAAGTGATTTGGCAACGTTTTAGCACACGCCCACAATTCGTTCCATCTTTCAACACACACATTGACAACCTTCGGCCTTCTGTCAAAGGGTTCACCTCATTCATTAATCAAATCCAAGCGAATAACCAAAATTTCTGTGTTATGTGCCGCGGTTATAATATGGTTCAAGATGACACACGGGTTGATGACGTCAGTTACACGAATCGCTTGAACGCGTTGGTTTTAACCGCGGTTTTGTTGCAAGTTGTTTATTTTAGAAAAGCACGTATATAATCTCTGATTATTTTTATTATCACTTGATAATCGGTGCTTTTTCGTCTACAACTGTATATGGAAAGTTTAAATAAGAAACCTTTCATAATATTCATGGGAGAAATGTTTTTTTCAGATTTTTTTTTAATAATGGAACCATGGCTTTGTAGCTATGATAACTTTCAATTCTCTAAATTTTTCCGCATGTGAAAGAAAACATTTATAGATTCAGCAGAAATGATGAAAAAAGAAATTA